GATAAGGTTTGATATGATTCATCGTGAGAAAGCTCTAGAGGCTCGTAATGTACGTGTTGCGCTGGCAACATATGGGTTCAATCCTTATGGAATGGCGGCTGTCTCATACACTTGTTGGCCCATGTTCGTTATCCCTCTCAATCTCCCCCCTGGAGTCCTCTTTCAATGACAGAACATATTCTTGTCATTGATAATTCCTGAACACCCGGGGAATAATATGAGTGTGTACATGGAGCCTCTGATTGATGTTTTGGTCCATGCTTGGGAGGAAGGGGTATGGACATACGATCGAGCTACAAAGACAAACTTCAAAATGCATGTTTGGTACTAGTACTCCCTGCATGACTTTCCGGCGTATGGGATATTCTGCGGCTAGTGTGTTCACGGGAAGTTCTCAAGCCTAGTATGCAAGGCGTCTCTAATGTTCATTTGGTTGACGAAGGGTGGCAAGTATTCTTCGTTCGACAAACATCGACAATTCCTCCCTCTTGACCATCCATTTAGATGAGACATCAAGAACTTTACGAAAGATGTAGTAGTTGAAGGCCCTACACCCTAGATGATGATTGGTGCCGTGATTCGTGCTCAGTTAGACGCTCTCGAGGTCAATGACCAAGGAGATGGTTTTTTGGGATATGGTGAGCAACATGCATGGACTCACAAGTCGTGCTTGTGGAACCTCCCCTATTTTGATGACCTTCTACTTCCACATAACATTGATGTAATGCACACTCAAAAGAATGTCACCGAGGCAATTTTTGGTACAATCATGGACATTCCTGATAAGATAAAGGATAATGTTAAGGCTAGAGTGGATCAAGCGAGGTTATGCAATAGACCAAAGCTAGACATGGCGCCTCCCGGAGGCGGAAAGTCATGGAGAAAGCCTAAGGCCGATTTCGTTCTGACGAGGGCCCAAAGGAGGGAAGTATTAGAATGGTTCCAAACGTTAATGTTCCCTTATGGTATGTAGTGAATCTAAAGAGGGGAGTAAACTTAGCTACATTGTGAATCAACGGGCTCAAGAGTCATGACTACCACATATGGCTTGAGTGGCTACTGCCGGTGATGGTTCAAGGCTATGTCCCTAAGCATGTCTGGATAGTGCTGGCGAGGTTGAGCAATTTCTTCCGTCAGCTTTGTGCTAAGGAGTTATCTCATACCGTGGTTGCAAACATGGAAAGAATGGCGCTTGTGTTGCTCTATAGGTTGGAGAAGATCTTTCCACCTAGCTTCTTCAATCCGATGCAACATTTGATTTTTCACCTCCCGTATGAGGCACGAATGGGGGGGCCTATGCAGGGCCGTTGGTGCTATTCAATTGAGAGATTTCAAAAGGTTCTTTGAACTAAATATAAAAATAAATGCAAAATTGAAGCATCCATAGCATAGGCATACATTCTCGAGGAGGTGTCAAACTTCACAACAAAATACTATGCTGACAACCTTCCTAGTGTGCATAATCCACCCCCTTGTTACAATGCTGGCGAAGATGAATCGAACCTTAGCATTTTCCGAGGGCAACTAGGAAGTGCAAGTGGTGCGATTAATTTTTTGTTTGATATGTTCAAAATTACAATAGAAACTAATAATTTATCTTAATCACTTGGGCAGGGGTTGGAGGAAGGTCGGTGGGGGTGATCACGCACGCCATGTGAACGGCATCCTTGGTCTTTTGATCAAGGAAAAGTTCCCTAGCCTTGTGCAGTTTGGCGGAACTGTCGAGCCGGCCTACACGTGGGCCCACTATGCCGCCATCCCCAACACCCCTGATCGGGATGGCAGGGTATTCGCCGACAAGGCACAACGTGTTAAGGCTGAGCTTTGGGTAAGTCTTTCTCACACTACATTGCTTAATACATCGCATTGATTAGACATTCTTGAAATAATGACTGGATACATCGCGTCTATATGCAGGATTTCTTTAGATGTGAGGAGGGATATGAGGCCAAGGCGGATGTTGTTGCTGACAAAGCCGCCAAGAAACTCATCAAGGACATGCACTATGAGGCGCACATCTAGGCCATGATCCAATACCACGCGAAAATTCTTAGAGAGAAGATCCCTAAAAGTGCGGCAAGAACCATGAGCCTGACCTCAGAACAATACCTGAAGGTAAATATAGAACATTAATACTTATTTTTTCTGAGATTAATTACGCTTAATTTCATCTTCTTATATGTCATATACTTGATGACGTAGGTGCCTCCGTGGTGGTGCGCCTACGATCTGCAGTGCTGGGCTCGGATGGTGGACAGATGGTGCGACCCCGCGTGGGAGGAGAATCACAACACTTGTCGAGAGAGGCGTTTGCTGATGCCGGGTGCACCACACCATCAAGGCAACCTCAACCTCTCAGAATACGTGACTAGATGGGTACGCGAACTCATTTCTTTATTTTAACGCTCAACTCTACATAATTTCTAATCATATATTTTTTTTTTGCAGTCGACGGCACATGGTGGTGAGCCTTGCTCCTAGTTCATGACATATGCTTTGGCCCACAAGGGCAAGGAACGGCCGACGTCGCCTACAACCCGGAGGACCCGCCCTCGGCGTACAGCAACGAGTACGTCCATAGCCGCCTCGATGGATACACATCAATGGCAATGATGGTCTATGGCCCAGAGTACGATCCAAGCACCCATGACCTTGATGGAGAAGTGGTCATGAGGGCTGGAGGAGGCAAGAAGCATGGTCGGTTCTGTATTGCCGATGGCACAATCGACATAGCCAGTACTCCCACTCTCTCTAGATTCAAGCATGGAGCACTCGTTCTAGCCCAGCGATATGACCCATAGCTGAACTCTACACGGTTTCAAATGAACGCACTTCAGGTTATTTCTATTTTATTCATCATTCATTGATTTTTACATACTTTTGCATTGCATTGTAACATTGGGATGAAATATTGTAGGCTCTGCTAGAATAAGAAACGAGGCGCCGGGAGGAGCTAGAGGCGAAGATATGATGGAGGCAGAGCGGCAGAGTATGGAGGCAGAGCGGCAGAGGATGGAGCTACATATGTTTGAATATATGAAGGATGTTTACGCTGAAATTGGTCAACCTCCGCCACCGATGCCAGTCCCTCCTCCTCAACCTGCTCCAAATACTGTTTTAGGTAGTGTGAGTTGCTTTACAACCTTATAATCGCCGTTTCTAGTTTATGCAGAATCAATCTTACAAAGATGCCTAGACAATAGAAACTTAGTGACTAATGCTATATGTTTGTTACCAACTAGTACTTAAGCAATCATACTAGAGCACAATGCAACTGAGAAGATATTGCTGATAGTTGCAAGGGTTATACTAGTTAGGCAGCAGAGAGACCACACATGTTGTTCAATCTTATCTCACACATGCAATCTCTTTTCCTTTGTGCAGCATCAATCGGTGGCATTGAATGAGCCTCATGACCCAGCGTGGTCGCAGTGGAACTCGTGGCCTAAGTGACTACTTGTGATTTTATTTGTATTTGCATTTGTGGATTACCTCTGACTACTTGTGACTATTTATGGTTGTGAATGAACCTACTAGTGATTCTAAAGTTTATTTGCATTTATGTGTTGTCGATATGAACTGCCTATGATGTTTATTGTGAACTATGTGTGATGCATGTAATGTTTATTTGAGTGGGGTACGTTATACGTGACCGAACAATAAAAACAGGGAATATATGGTCGCTTTGCCGAGTGTTACAATTGGCAAAGAGGCATTTTGCTGAGTGCCAAGGTAAAAATACTCGGCAAAGAGGACACGTGGCCAAAATCTGTGCATTCTAGGACTAAAATGGCTTCTTTGCCGAATGTTTGCGCTGTGACACTCGACAAAGAAGCCAACATTTATATGTTTTGGGCCAGTGTTTGTCGAGTGTCCAGTATTTGACACTCGGCAAAGAAGGCAGGTTTACCGAATGCCCCGGATTTAACACTCGGCAAAGAAGCCAACATTTGTACGTTCTGGGCCAGTCTTTACCGAGTGTCCAGTATTTGACACTCGGCAAAGAATTCAGGTTTGCCGAGTGTCAGGTCCGGGACACTCGGCAAAGAGCGTCGTGACCGTCTTCGCGCCGTCGTGTTACTTTTTTCGCCGAGCGTCGGTTTCAGCTCTCGGCAAAGTATTTGCCGAGTGCCCAATAAAAACACTCGACAAAGAGGCGTTTGCCGACACTGTAGATGACGTGTACTATTTGCCGAGTGTTACACTGCCGAGTATTTTGTGGGCTTTGCCGAGTGTATGTGATACACGACAAAGCCACTGTTTCCGGTAGTGAAGCGAAAGTATCACAATTCACAAAGGCATTCAGCAGCGGTTTTTACGTACTTTTAATATGAAAGTAACACAAGATGTGCTGGGTCAAAGCCACTGTTTCCGGTTGAAGCGAAAGTATCACAATTCACAAAGGCATTCAGCAGCGGTTTTTACGTACTTTTAATATGAAAGTAACACAAGATGTGCTGGGTCAAATGGCAGAGCATATCTCTCGAGTCTTGACCACGCATCCACTTCTCGCCGGCGTGGAAAAATATGCTTGGACTGCTAGCCAGCCACCTTCCCTCACCACGTACGTCAGCGTCCCAAATCCAGTCGCATGCCAGCATGCCCGTGAGTCCCTGACCCTGGTGTCACTTTCATAAGCTGGCATGGACATCTGCCACGACTTGTCTGTGCCCACTGCACGGTGACAAAAAGTCAAAAACGGTCTCAGGTTTTTTATGCTAGAAAATATATAGAGAAGAGATATCCATCCTTTTATGAATGCTCAATAAGCTACACACACACACGGAGTAGTAAATTAAACCTAATGAATCCTGACACGTCCCAACTGAGGTCATGCGTAGCCAAACGGCAGTGGCTCCGTCTTCGTCTTCATGGTCGGCGGCACTATAAATAGCCTTGTGACACATACTCACATGCATGCCTCCATCTAACGGCTCCGACCCATCCAGAGCTCGCCGGTCACCACCACCACGGGCAGCCGCACTACACTAAAATCAGCAATGGCGCCGCCGCCGCTGTCACGTATCCTCGTGATACTCTTAGTGCTTCTCGTCTCCGCCGGCGCCGGGGCAGACAGCTGCACCGACGACGACGGTGGCCACCGAAGCCACCAAACGCGCCACGCCCGCATCTTCAGCTTCGGCGACTCGCTCACCGACACGGGGAACGCGCTACGCATCCTCGGCGACCGGGCGATCATCAGCCGGCCGCCGTACGGCGAGACCTTCTTCGGCCGCCCTAGCGGCCGCGCGTCGGACGGCCGGATCATGATCGACTTCATCGGTGAGCACCATGGCATTATTGCTTGGCATTTCATCTATCGGTCCGACGAACGACGGCTGTTGGTTGATGATGGCATCGTCCGTCCATGCTGACGGCTGACCATGCAGCTGAGGCGATGGGGGTTCCGCAGCCGACACCGTACCTCCTCGCCGGGAAGACGGCGGCGGACTTCCGGCGCGGAGTGAACTTCGCGGTGGGCGGAGGGACGGCGCTCGACCCCGGCTTCTTCGAGGGCAGAGGCCTCAAGATCTTCGTGCCGGTCTCTTTCAGGAACCAGACCGCCTGGTTCAAGAATGCTTTGCAGCGTCTCGGCTCGGTTCACGGTAACTCGCCGTGTCTCATACTGCTAGCTAGAGTTTCCATGTATAGACATGCATGAAACGCTCGAGAAGCCAACTTAGCCTATTACCCTCTTGTTATATGCCCTCAGAGCAGAGGAACGTCACGGCGACCTCCCTCTTCGTCGTCGGAGAGATCGGGGTCAACGACTACCTCATCGGCCTCCTCGGAAACCGCACCCTTAGCGAGCTGAAGACCGTCTTCCTCCCGCGGATCATCAGTGCCATACGCTCCGCCGTGACGGTGAGTCGTCGTCTCCCTCCTACTCTCCTTCCAGTTCCAGATGCTATACGCAACACAATAGTCTGTCAGTTCGTCACACGACTGCATATACTTGCGTGGTCACACATTCAGGACGTGATCGCCGCCGGAGCATGCACGGTGGTGGTCCCCGGGGCCATACCTCTCGGCTGCGAGCCGGAGCTGCTGACGCTCTACCAGGGACGCGTCGGCGCCGGAGGCTATGACCCGGAGTCCCGTTGCATCACCTCGCTGAACGACCTCGCCGAGCTGCACAACCGCGAGCTGCGCCGCATGCTCGGGGACCTCCGCCGCGCCCACTCCGGGTCCGGGACGACGACGACGTCCATCGTCTACGCCGACCTCTACCGCGCCGTCACCGACATCATCGTGTCGCCCGGCAGATACGGTACGTGCGCGCCCGTTCGTGGTGGATGATCGAAACTAACCCCTGCGTTGTGTTGACCTCTTCCGGTGTCCTGGCGCGCCGTGCATTGTTGCAGGTTTCAGGGACAGGCCGCTGGTCGTGTGCTGCGGCCGCGGCGGCGGCGCCTACAACTTCGACATGGCGGCGAACTGCGGCGCGCCGGGGACGAAGGCGTGCGCCGACCCGTCGGCGTACGTCTCCTGGGACGGGGTGCACTTCACGGAGGCCGCCAACAGGCGCATCGCCTGCTCCGTGCTCGGGACGCTGCGGCTCACGACGCAGGCTGGGCGCTGTAGGATCGGGTGCGACTGCGACTAGCTGGTGTGGTGTCAACAAATAAACCAGCTTTTTTTATCGCATAAATGAATTGTTAATTGCTGGGAGTATAGTTTTTTATTAAGGTCATGTTCAATCGAAATATATAGGCCTTGTAACAAATAATCATATGGACGGACGGCATTATTCACTGTTATTCGTTGTTTCATACATGAATAAATGGATTGTTAGCTAATAAGGTCTTGTCGAAATAAAATATACCTTTGTAGAGTAATTGTTTGGATCCTTGAGCAAAGTTCATCTTGGAGCCTCTCCTGGTAAGGAAAATCTTTGTTAACTCAGGTGAGCCAATTTTGCTCACTCAACATGGTAAACTAGGATATGACTACTCGACATGGCCACCATTGAGTGACGGATTACAAGATATGCAATCCAAACGAAATGTCCACATATGACGCCTAGAATCATCTGCAAGACTACAACCCAATTCAAACAACACCATAAATATTAAATATAATGTTGCGTGTGCGTGCACAGGAAGTAATATTAGTATCACATTAATCGTTAAAGACGCGCTAGTCAAAAAAAATAAATCCTCAAAATTCTCACAAAAATAAAAAAAAATTATTTATCCTTTAATCTGGTAGACTTTCAATTTACATTCCAATTATCTATCTCTTTAGTTATGAAAGCCAATACAAAGTAAATCCCAGAATTTGCTATTTGAATTCCAATTATCCATCGTTACTGCACTTTTTAGAGGTGAGTAAAAATGGTTAGCAGAGGCGGACAAGCCCCCTACACTCCGCTATGAGGTCTGTGTTAATGAAGCATTAACAAAGATGGGGCTTTCGCATATGGTTCTCTTGGCCCTATTTATATATCTGAAAATCGTTGTGTATTTTGGGATGCAAGCACTTTTTGACTGCTTTTGTAATCCTAAAATCTTTTTGTAGTAGAGCATTATGAAAAAAATACAATATAACCCCTTGAATTTGTATCTAAATTATTCACACCTACATTTATAAAGATAGACTAAAGTATCGCTCAAATATATGTCAACATACCAATATAATCTATTATGGAAAATAACTCAATAACCATAAAGTAAGCTATATATGTTTCTAAATTTCGCACTTCTACCACTATTAAATGAAAAGTTAGCATAATGCTATTTGCCATCAAGTAAAGTAAGTAAATATGCATATATTTGAATAAATATTTTTTAGTAATTTATTAACGATAATGCTCTCTACCGAGCGTCCGTCTGGTTCGACGGGATAGACCCGCCTGCCCCCGCGCCTTGCGTGCCCTACTCACGCCTCATGCCTCGCGCCCCCACCCATGCCTCGTGCCTTTGCGCGCTACTCTCGCCTCGCGTCACCCGCGCCTCACACCGCGCGCCGCTTCGCGCCTCGCGCTACGCCGCCGCACCTGGCCCCTCTTGCTCGGACTCACATTGCGCACAACCGAGGTCTAACCTCCGTGCCGTGGCATCGAGCTTCGTGCCGGCGTCGAGCTCCGCGTCATCGAGCGTCTGTTGGGGGCAACATGTAGATGAGCACATGTTGCAACCGTATATTTCATGCGTTTCAGATGTATGATGCATATGTTTTATCTGGATATTGCAAAAGTAGATCTAGTGTTGTATATGTTGCAATGACTATACACGTATGTTGCAAGTGTATGTTTTAAATGTTTTAGTTGTTTCAAATGTATGTTGCAAGTGTTTTATCTAGATATTGCATATGTTGTACTGGCTATACACGTATGTTGCAAGTGTATGCTTTAAATGTTTCAGCTGTTTCAAACGTATGTTGCAAGTGTTTTATCTGGATATTACATATGTTGCGGTGCCAATACACATATGTTGCAAGTGTATATTGTAAATGTTTCATCTGTTTCAGACGTATGTTGCAGCAAATGCTTTATGTTGCAAGTGTTTCATGAGTAGCGCGGCAACGGGGCGCAGGCGAAGGTGGTCCCCTCGGGTGCAACAGTCCACGTGTGCGCGTGGGAAGCGAAGCGGGTGCGTTAGCAGGCGCGGAGCACAAAGCTGTAGGCGTGGAGCAAGCGCGAAGCACGATGTTGCATCAATGGGCATGCAGCAAGCGCGGAGCAGGAGGCGAAGCAGAGCATGAAGTGCATCCATGGGCCAGCAGTAGGCGCGGAGCACGAGATGAAGCGGAGCACGAAGCTGCATCCATAGGTGCCCTAAGGGTATCATTATGAAAATGGGCGGGCAGCAGGCGCAAGCATCCGGACGGTCGCCGCGTCCGGACGTCCGAGCGCTAGTCTCTCCTATTTATTATTACTAGGAAAAATACCCGTGCGTTGCAACGAAAATAAAATAATGCCCGACCATAGAAAATACACCAAGATATAGTTCAACGGTAGCAACAACGTCATAGGCAACTGCCAGCCTTTGCAAGTGATACTTAGATCAGTAGCTCTTTTTGTCTTCTATGAACCAATTGTACAGATAAACGTTTGGAACTGGACGGAAGAGGGTGCAACATAACAGGCTTAAGGCCCCTTTGGCTCATCCAAAACGGCTTCACCGGTGAAGCCAGAAAAACTGGCTTTTTCCGGCTTCTAGTTCATTTTAACCCGGCTTACAAAACGGCTTCACGCTACAGTGCCTCGATTTGCGCAAAATAGATGAAGTCGAAACCGGCATAAGCCGTGCCAAAGAGGCCCTTACTTTCACTAATAGCGCTTCTGTCACATCTTTCGAAAAATGTAGTAAATGTGAATGTACTCCCAGCATGTGGTTGGCTGACAAAGTTTATCTGACCATCCATTAAACATTTGCTGATGGTCAATCCAATTTCAGTACCACTCGCCTGCGTGAGAAGTGTAAACACCTTGCCTTGGGCATCCAATGGTGTGGACATCAGAGGGCATTTCATTTTCTCAAAAGCAAAAGCTTGAAGCTTTCCCAACTATTTCAGCTATCAGCAGCTTCAAAACCACTTAAGTGTGTTGAGAGAAACACTGGTTGCTACAGCAGTTTTCTCATCTTTGTATGCATTAATCCCATTTGCCACTGGCTCAACTTTGGCTTTTGTTGCAAGATTTGAGAGATATGCAATATGAACTTGTTGAAAAATATGTCCCTGTTCTGTGAACTGTCAGTGCAAGCAAATATAAATCATAAACTTAAGCTAGCAACAAACTTCAGAGTACTAATTAAACACTGCAGTACATTTTGCTAAAACTATGTGGTTCTATCCCTAGTCGAGATAAAATGGCCCTCGTTGTTTGCAGACATGCTTGGAAGGAAAGGTCATGCACGCTTACCATAGTTGAGTTGCCCACTAAATTTGTAATTTTCTGTCAAGATCTTCCAGGATCACCCAACAAGATTTCAGGAACTCTTTTAGAGACATATACAGCAAGCTACAATTTTACAAAATAAAAGGTAATTAGTAAGGATAGAACAATAAGTTAGATATGCCCGGATGTATGATTATGAAACAAGTATCATTCAAAAGCCTGACAATACTCAGACAACAACAAAACATTTTAATCCCAAGGAAGTTGGTATTGGCTAGACATGAAACTGAAAACCAACAAGTCTCTACTATATATTTTTTTTTAAAACAGTCTCCTATGAAAGCACCATTTGTCATCAGACACTACTCCACACAATTGCAGTACGTAACGTGGTGTTGGTTCTATTTAACGGACAGAGCAGACACTTATAGGTGACCTGAGCTATCATGGCCAGGATGTTTGCAGTCCAAACCACCAGCAAATATTGACCCATGGATGATGGATCCAGCAACGGTGCAGTTACCAAATGTGGAATACTTGCTGTTCAGCACTTGTTCAGCAATTCAGCTATATAATATGACATCTCTGTAGCAACGCGTGATAGTCAAAGCACACTATTTGTAGCTATGAAACAATTTGAAAATTGAAAGAGAGAACCTGAAAGATAAGAACCTCAAAAAAAAAAAAGAATGAACACTCAAAACCGTTTGGTTCCCCTAGATGATCTCTTAGCCCTGGTGGAGGGCCATTCTATACATCACTTGCTGACTTCGACTCAGCGTTCAGAGGATCATCGCCCTGTTCAGTATCTTTGTTCTGCTTGTGATCATGGTCTGCTAACTCCACAAATTCTTCATCTTGACTTCATTAGTGCGCCCAATTTGATTCACCCCTCCTGACACATCTCTGACTTTGGGGATTGTCCTTGGGCTACCAAAAGAGATCCAAAAATTGAGTATCTTGTAAGAAATTGCAAGAGGAAACAATTCCCGATGCTCCCAAAACACCAGCACTCTAATCCAAACCAAAACACTGTCAGATCCAAAATAAAACATAGTCAGACTGGAAAAACGATGGGTGCGACGGCTTGGTAGTGGTACCTGGGATTGTCCCTCCGCGACCTAGATAAGGACTGCAGGTGTCTCCCGTGTGATTCGCGCCCGTCACCTCTAAGGACTGCAGGTGCAGCGGATTGGTACCTACGATCTTCACTCCGTGCCCTGGACGAGGGGTGGGGGCGCCTCCCGTGTGAATCACGCCCGTCGCGCCGGGACGCCTCGAGCACCTCCGTCGCCATCATCGTTTTCTCCCCTTCCGTTTCAACCTCCAAAATTTCCAGTGCTCTAGGATAAGAGCTCTGTATGCCATATCCCAATGGAACCTTTTATAAATAGGAAAAATTGAAGAACTATGTGTTCAACATGGAGTTCATGTCTAACTTACCATGGATTTTTTTTTCCAGATCCGAGTCGGTGTCTTCGTTCCATTGGAATTGGATACCGCTTTTTCCTTTCCTTCGATTGAATTCCGTTTTTTCCACGAACCGAGCTGGTGTCTTTGTAGCCTTGGATCCTGATTCCTTTTCGCTATCCGGTGAAGCGTCGGCGAAGCCATTAACGACGGACACCGCGGCGCGCCGGCTTGTCGGAAGAACGCGGCGACAGCGGCCTTGCACGATGGACCAATGCAGCGGTGGCGCTAGCTGTGCGCTGGAACGAAGCAACGGCCGCGCGGGGAGACAGAGCCCGACAGCATGAACGACG